TGCATCAACAAGTTCTAATTTAATTGTAAAAACTTTCAGTACACTGTTTCTGCAGTGGGCACAATCTCAACCAGCATCCTTTTATTACAATTCCTCCGGTCTTGTTTAAGCTTTTTATATACGCTGATCATGTGTCAAAACTGAATGTTTCTCTCATAGCAGTCTCTGGTAGCAACTTTTTAGTTTGCCGGACACTTGAACAATCTTTGTAAACATGATAATAACTTTGAACTGACTGTACTAACTTTTTTTGTTCTATATTGCTGTAGCAAAACCTACCGACTCTTTCGTAAGTTTCCTTGCGCAGAGATCCGCCATATCGATGAATATTCGTAGAAGGAAGTGCAAAACAGTTTTGAGTCACATTACTAATTTAGCTGGCGTAGTTGCTACGGTTCACAGCTACTTGCTATGCATACCTGATAACAATAGATCAATATCCCTTGATCCATTTCTTGGTGGAACAAACCGGGCCTTTATTCTGAATGACAGAGTGGTTCCTCGGGCACAAACCGGAAATGAAGTGCATGCGTTGGCAGTAGCAACATGGATATTTATCGTAGAGTCTCCCCTTATACCTTCAAGAATGTTGAGAATTCAAATAAATGATTTTTTTTCTCAGATCCAATTTCAATCGTAGGTTTTGTCACGCTGTACTCGGTAGCTCCAGCTGTTCTTTGTTTCTATTAAAGATAAGACCGCTGACACAATATTGCTCAAAATAAGTATGTGAGGTGATCGTAACATAGTTCAAAGAACGACGAGATTCATCCTGAGAGACCAACAGAAGAGCCCCTTTACCCTTACAAGAAATCGACTGACGAACCCTTGGGTCTCCGAGGATGGCTGCGTTTGGACTCATCCCTTAGACCTCTTGTGGCCAATCACACAAGTGAGTATGCCCTGTCAGTAAGAATTAGTTCAGAGAGTTTGCACTTTTATTTTTGCAAAGTACGAAGCACTTAGTATCGAAAAGGTCTTCATTTTCTTCTGTATCAATAATATCTTCAGTTTAACTTGCAAAAATATTTAGTGGGTTTTAATTTTAAACCATTTTTCGGATTGCCTTTGATCCGCAGGTAGAATTTCCGTCGAAAAAAAAATTTCGCACAGTAGAACGCCCCTGAAAAATGGGAAAAGGAATCTCTTCATGCGATTCAAAAGGCTGTCGTTATTTGGACTTACTCGAAATTTTAATCTATGAATCGTCTACAGTCATAGCTCCTCTTTGTACGATTCATCAAGATGGAAAAAAAAATTTCATAAATAATCAGTTCTTGGTTGAAATTTTAGTCTTCTCAAGCCGCATAAATTTGTTCCCACAAAGCGCCAAATAAATTCAGTCATCCTAAATTAAATTCCCTCAAAATTCTTTTAGCTGTTCGGTATTTTCAGGAAAATGTTGATAATGCGATTAAAAAATATAGCAGTTTGAGGTGATAAGAAGTACTGACAATAATAAACTTTCCTCTAATTGGTTTTTCAGGATTTTAGAACAGCGCTCATGCATATGAATATTAGCTAATCACGTTGCGGTTGACTGTCTTCACGGATTGTTAGCCTGTTCTCAATCAGTGGTGAAGAGCGGAAAAAACTGGCGATTGTTACGCAAACGAAAATAGTACAGCAGAAGTTGTTAAAGGCTGACCCTTATATATCTAAGGCTTGTATTTCTATGCGGACCGCGACTCAAGATAACTTACAATTTTGCTTTTTCGGAGTAAGGGAAGAAAAGTAAGTATCGATCCCCTGCATATATGTCAGCTCCTATGAAACGTGTGATAAAAAAACGTGGCCATATATTGATCATTCCCAAAATATACAAATGACTTAATTTCTAAAGTATGAATATCTTTTATGTTGTATATTCGAAAGAAAAACGATCGGAACACAATACGCATAGTCACGTTTTTATCCGTTTTAGGAGCTCTATCCGCTAATTGCATAATATTCCAACAATCGTTTTGACTGAATTCGATGGAAATCAAATTTTATGTAGAAGACAGACTGACGAGAGTTTTATCTCAAACCTATTACTTGGCTACTGGAAATACTAGCGTGGAACTCCTTAGAAACTGGCATTCACGATCAGAGAGAGCCGCTCGAACGCTCACGATTCAGTAGTTAGCTGAGCCGTAGTTAATCGGGAGACTTAATTTTTTATCAACTTTTTTTTTCATTTGTTTTCTTTTATAACAAGTGAAAGTATAAGAAAGAAATACGGAAAAGACGTGAGAAAGAGGGAATGATTGTAGGGTTTATAATAGGACCTTACAGTTCTCCATTTCAGTTCAGAGCTACAATGTACCACGATAATCTAGTTCTTTGACCATTTTACACGTGTCTTTATAAATTAGTTGCAATTTGTTGTTAGATCACAATGGAAACTTCTACCTGATATTTTTTAGTATTCTCATTACCTGTTTGCTGAATATTGTGAGGATATTACGAGGAGAAATTACATGTTAATCACTTAATTTGCTCCCCCAAACTTTCAAGGGAATTAAGGTGGTATATTTATGAGTAGATCGTGGCTGGGTGGCAACTTCGAGATAAATGATAGTCGCCAATATCGAGTTATTTAGTAATTAGACGGATGAGTTAAAAATTCTTGGCCTTTTTTTCATTTCAGAAAAATAACCTTATTTAGTACCTTTACGATGAGCAAGGTACAAGGTCAATACAAACTGGTTCAAGGAGCCAGGGACCTGAAGACCACGGAGTCTGCGAAAGATCACTTATAAAGTCGAAAGATCATCATAAAACCGTTTTAAAAATAATTTTAAAGATGAATGGGTAAGGATTTAGTTTCTCAAAGAGAAAGCGCGAAAATTTTCACAAGGAACACAGACCCGTTGCTTGCTTATCCCAAACCATCTCTCTGAGAACAATTCGAATGCATAAAAATCAAATTAAAACTTGTGACGATGTGGTCCTGTTGTAACCTTTTTAAAGGTTTGAAATTTAAAATATGTGAAAAATCACATCATGTAGAGTGAAGCCCGCTCCTTTCATCTGTTTAGCCAATAAAATAAGGTGAAGGACGATTATATATAGTTGCTCTCAATATTATGAACTCTTCTTTCGATGTTCAAAACATTTCAGTCATGATCAAGGCTATATTTAGCCAAAATATTGTGTGTGAAAACATAACTTAATAAAAGATCAAAATTTGCGAAATCAGGAACTCAAGGATGTCAGCGAGGCGTGTTACGTTTTCGCAAAATTGGAATGGATACCTTAATTTTAATCAGCAAAACTGTTTCCTCTGTCCATGTCGTCTAATGCAACTTGAATTCAAACGCAAATGATAACCACAACTGTAGTTTAAAAAAGTAGGAAAACATAAAGCGAAAGTTCCCCCATGATTATTTATCAAGGGCTGTGACAACCTTCAAGAGCTCTTCATCGGAATGATGAAAGAGGGAGGGGAGGGTCGCGAAGATGTTTCTTTTCTTTACGGGTCAAGGGATTGCATCGTACGTGAGTAGGTCCACTATCTAAGTGATTTTTCACTTGACCTATCAATTCAAATCAGTGAACCGTAATATAGGTATAAGTCCCGGACAAAAGTTTTCCGGCAGCTTTTTATAGAGCGGAAAATATTATATCCTGAGGGGAAAAGGTATTGAAACGCATTGAATTCAGTTCTACTCATGATTTCCATGCATAGTCATTTGTACAGTTTCCTTGCATACACATAGTATTGACTTTCGGCGGATGGTCCTTTCTTTTCGTGATGAAATCCTACTCTGGCGGCTTGAAACGAAAGGGAAACACGGCACGAAAGGTTGATGTTCCCAACCGGAAGTCATAGACCAATAGCCACTTCAGCGTGACAACGGAAGTTGCTTCAGGGAACCCACCTGTTCAAATCGGGGGTATAGAACCGATTTCTATCGTTAGATCACCTTAGATTCAATTTGACATTACTTTATTTCATTTCTTATGCTTGCTTTTAACCAGAGAGAGAAGCTAAATAAGTTCCTGATGGATTCAAAACTTTTTAATTTTTTTTAAAATAATTCCTTTTCTCTCATCCTCTATTCACTATCATTTTGAACAACTGTTGTTGTTTGCCTAGAGACCAGTTCCTTTGAACGTGTTCGATGAAATATCGGGCCGTCTCACTCCTTACTCACCCTTAAGAGTCTGAAGAAGTGTATGAAGTTTCCGGAAGCAGCATCTTAAGATGTATTGCATTGCTAAGCGTTTTCTGTTTACATCACGTAGTTTTTGAACCCTGAATAAATAATTCATTGAGTATTTTGAAAAACGTGTTCGCTCGGCATGCCTGCTGGCTGGAATGAAACTGTAATCACCGTTGTACTGTTAGTCTATTAACGAAAACGGGATTAATCCTTGAGCGGTTTGATAAAACAAACTGTTTTTCAGCCCGTCCCGTCCTGTCCTTTCCCCCTGTTGGGTAAATGTTGTTTTCAACAGTTATAAGAGGGTTGCGAACTGAAAGCGGCATAATTTTCCTTTCGAGAGTGCATGTCCACATTCAATGCCGAAATTCGCTGGAAATTCGATTCAAGACACAACTGCAGTTATTATTTTCCAACAGAAGATTTGTCAAATTACCATGAACAATATTTCGAGCGATTTTCCTGAAAATATGAAAACATTCCACCTTCCGCTCTAGCGACTTCATAAATCTACAACCTTTCTATATTGCCTGAAGATGAAGGATTCGATTTCAATTTCGTTTCTTCTAGAAAATGATAGCATTAAATATCAACATTATGCAAATGCTAAGCCTATAACAATCTGCTTTAAATCTTCAGTTACTAAAACAAAAAGCGCTGTCGTATTTAAAGGAAAGCGATAAAGTTCGTGGATACGCAATCAAAACGAGAATGAGGCCGATAAAAATGAAAAACCTCACTCAAATTTGTCCGATTTGGTTTGTTAACGGATAATAAATCAATCGCTGTATAATTTCCTTGTCCGTAAGAATATCAAACATCTTTCGAAGATGAATTAGTCAATGTACATAAATTTGTACCAACCCAAACAATTTTAATATTGTCTTCCTCGGCACACAAGTCAAATAAAACATGTCCTACAATATGATTTTCATATTTACAAGATTTCAAGTATATTAACGACTTTAACTATACAAGCTTTCTCGTTACAAGCTTAGGGGAAGCTCATGACGTTCACAAGATACTTACCAGCGCAATATGCGCAAGACAGACCCCGAGATGAGCAATTTCTTCTACTTACAGAGAAAATGACCACGATTTCTTTACGAAAGAGGTCTCAGTTGTTCTGTTCGTAAACCAGAATATCTGTATGGTTTTGTTTAGGTATAAAAGCTCTTTCAACATTATGAATAAAACATAATCTCTGTACAAAATCCAAAGTCTGCCCACAGGGCTTATAAAAAATTTTTAGTCCACTGTGGTAGGTCCTATTTTATTATTTGCCTATTCCCATCCATTGTCTTTGATCATATGGGCCATTTCGATGATGAACTTTCCTTCCTTATACTTTTGGCTGTTCTCAAAGGCATGTTCCTGGGGGGAAAGTAAAGATAAAATGCAGCCATGATTAGACCACTCGTTCAGAGACATTAGTTGCTGTCATGTTTTCAACCTGGCAAAATTTGCATATTAGAGTTGTTTTGCTTCGATCCCGCGCAAAACCCACGCAATACTATCGAGCGGAAATTTGATGCAAAATAACATGGCGGATTCGGCAAAAGCGAAAGAAAAAAATTAAATTCGAAGAGTTATACTCACGTATTTCCAACCCAAGGTGGTTTTACAGCACTCGCAATAAATGTCGGCAACTGCGTGCAGTCCTGTCAACAAAACTCGCTCTTCAGCTGGACCGCAGCCGACGTTCACTCTGCGGAAAAAAATCGTCAAGGATAATCAGAGACGAAATTCGCTTCCCACACCATAAATTGAAAATGAAACTAACATAAAATTATACTCACACTTTATTGAACAAGTACGCCCGCCCTTGACTACCTTGGAACGACTGAAAATAAAATGAATTGAATCAATATGGTTGTGTTGTTGTCATGAACCACGAACGATCATCTCTTCAAACGTATAAGTCAATTAATTTTGATAAAGATATTGCACCTACCTTAGAAATAAGTTCGTCGTGGTTTGCCAGATGAGCCCGACAGTGAATACAGCTATAGGTTCTATGGCAGTGAGGGAGATACGCTTGAAACGTTTTAACCATAATGGCGAAGGAAACGAAAGAGAGCTCTCCTAACACGAAATAATGTTTCCAAAATGAAGAATTCTACACCCAACTGAACGTTGTCCGTAAACTTCAATTCTAGAAAACACGAGTACGTCTCAGCCAGAAATATCAACAGCGGTTGGTCGGATAAATTGCGCCTGATCCAAAGCACTACTTTCACATTTTCTTTCAGCGCAGTAAAGATTTTCTGTCGCAGATCAATTTGTTTTGGAAATTTGTTTTCACGACACACGTGACAGCAAGCTAGGTTTTTGTTCGTCTCCACCAATTAGAGTGCGGGTTTAGATAACCTGAGCGAGATAAACCAATCAAAACACTCGATAAAAATACATGATACAAAAGCGAAAGAGGGAAAGAACGACCGGAAATAAGAAAATCACGGAGCTCGTTGCGTCATGCTTTTCCGCATGAGAACATGGATGGGTAATGTACCAACAAAGATTTTTCTCGTTTTGAGAAATTATAGCATTGCTTTGCTCCTAAGCGATTGAAACTTTTCACAGATTTTAGATCCATTGTCAGATTTATACTTTCGTGACGGAAGGCACGGTTAATAAGGTGTCCAGCTGCGAGAGTTTGTGAATTCAGCGCACGATTTTAAAGGATCCCATTTTTTCTCTGTAATTCAAGAAATTTGAAAGAGAGATAATCACCTACGAAAAGGACTTAGAAAATGGCTTTGTTATTATTGATGTTGATCGTGTGAATTTTGGCATTTCGTTATTGCAATTCGTTGTAACCATCAACAACATAGGAAGACGATTTGGTCTCGTGGGCGCCATGTGCTGGAATTGGCGCTTTGGAGAGTTTTCAATCGCTGAATGAAATGTTACTTTTAAATTATCAGATATACCCATTAAATGGAGATCGGAATAAAGATAGTTGACAGCTGAACTTCCGTTAAAACTTGATTCGTGGGAGCGAAACCATTCCGTGACAATATTGACAGTTCAGAACATATGTGGTCGGATAAATCAAGCTATTATCGGGGAACTGATGAATAGGCCTTTCATGAGAGTGTATATGCAGTTAATTCTTTGCATCATTGTTCAGCTGCGCGTGGTAATACCCCATAACGGGCTCTTGTTTCTTTTATCGATCGCATCCTTTTCTAGCCTACGGTCAGGGCCTCATCATTAGCCCAAAATGGGTTACAGTAAGTTTGAAGCCTTTAGCCACGCTAGCCGGCGAAAGGTCAAAGATTCCAGATCCTATACAGACCTCTCTCTCTCGTATTGCACATGGCGTTTAACTTACTAGCGGGCTAAAAGGCGCTCGTGCCTTAGCGCAAATAACCAGGATGTACTCACAGGCTAATAATAATTTTAGAGCTCTTTAACCGCAAACCAGGGGGTAGCGGAACAGGTGCGACTGTTACAAATAAAATTCAAACAATGATTCGTACTCAAGTAAGCTGTAGGAGATTGAGACAAAGTAATTCTATTTCGCTGCTCCTTGTAAGAGACTAAGACAAAAAAATTCTACTGTGTCAAAATTTCCGAAACAGCTTGATTCTTGAAATGAGTTTCACTCTGGACAAAGTAAAATGCATGTTCTATACCCTTTTTTATGCGATTTTCACCTAAATAACAATAGGTGGGCTTCGTTTCACAACTGATTTTCGATGTATATGCGAACTTTCAGAAATAAAAAGCCATCAAAGAGAAAAGCGGAGTTAGAAAAAAAGGTTTTTATTTATGATTTATGGGTTGAAGATCTACGGATTTTGGAAAAGATTTGTCCCAGATTAATTAAGAACCAAGAGCAAAATCTGTATGGACAAGCAGGTTCTGTAATTGCCGAAGAGTGCATATTCATTCTTTAGGCCTGGATCTTGGATTCCGTTTGTTATAAACTTTGCATCGTTGGAGATCATCGTTTTGTGACCCTCTTTTGTCGTCATCGTTTTGTGACCCTCTTTTGTCCTCTGACCCTCTTTTTTTCTGTCACGGACCAGGCTCACCGGATGTCACGCAATGGAGAAATAGTAACGCTCTAGGGTACTTACCGGTAGTAAAGGGGAGTTATAGGTTGTAACCTGCAGAGCGGGTCTATTTTTTAACGTTTTTTTGCGAGAACGGATTTGCTGGATTCTCCGGCCGCTGGATAGTATCCACGCATTGTCACAGTAGATAGAGTTTTTGAAAGTGTATCTCAAATAAATCAAAATATCACGGTAAAGGCGGCGTTCTCTGATCACAAGCAATGTTACTCTCTGACAAAAGATTATCCCTTTCTTTAACTGTATATATGCCGCTGCAGCATCCCTTCTCGGTCTCACACAGAATTCAACGGCTTCGGGTTAAGAGCTGAATTTGGCCACATAACGCATGAAAGCTCTAAAGGGTAAAGCTGTTGAATCGGACGCTTCAAGCTACGATCTTAGCTTGTTCGAAGAGTCGCACCTCTGACCATTTCGTCTCTCCCCTTAATGAGCCAGGTCACAGTCCCTAGTTTCCAGTGATTCCGGTTCTTATTCTCGTCTTGCACAATCACAACATCTCCACCGTTGGGATGAGAGGTCTGCTTTCTCCCCCACTTCACGATGTTGTTCTCGTAGACTCCGCACATACTCACGGGTCCATCGCATAGGTATCGCACCCGTTTCCGCAGATCCTTGTTGGGGTAGTGGAGTGCATGCGCATGTAATTCTGCAAGATGAGTCGGGTTGACGCGTAGCATCGAATTTGAAGTGAAAATAGGTAACTGGACATCATCCCTTAGGTAATTCAGTACGGTAGCAGAGACCGGAAAATCGGGGTTTCATTCAACCCACGAGCTAGAAAAGGTTTGACAGTGGATTTTATTAGACCAATACCTCCTGAGTAAGGCTCACTACGTCGTAAAGTCGAGAAGTGGTATACGATCTGAGAGAAAGGGGGGTTTGCTACGTCACCCATTCGTCAGTGTGAAAACAAGGTTGTAAAGTGCATAACATTTGTTTACTCCTCTTTTTACACCTTTATCAACGCTTGCGGTCCAAATACCCGGTTAGTTCAAAATACTTGCTTCATTAGTTTACTTTTACCAAAAAAGCGACGTCACGTGACTCATCACGTGAAGAAAAATCCTTAAGGAACTGTTAGACCTGAGGGATGCATTCTCGTGACTTTCAATACTTCATCAGCGCAACGTGCTAGCTCAAACTGAACAGCTCATTTTCTTCTTTAAACCACTCTTGTTTAGCCTGACCAGTATAAAAAATGACTTGAGGTCGCATTTTAGAAAATTCGACCTAACAATGCACATGAGGGCGGTCTCAAAAATAAACGGAATTTATGCGGCCAACTCGTAACTGAGGCGTGATTTGAGTCCATAAAAGCTTTTTAATGAGTTGCAGTAAGATAAAACATCATTAAGTTAAAAAAATCTTCATTTTCTTCTAGAAAAACAGAGCCGCTGAAAGCTGACTCTTAGCTCTAGGCGACCTATTGTTTTGTTTATCAGTCAATTATGAGAAAAGCCAGGGCGAAAAAGTCTAGAGGCCGAGGTAACTATGACAAGATTATTCAGAATATTTCAAGTTGTTCATTTAGAAACTGTTCATCTTAACAACACTTAAAGTGTAGTCCTTTCAATTCGAAAATGTAACCTTTAATCTAATGAAATTTCACCACGAGAATTTATTTATTGAAAGGTTTCCCTCTTTTGTGTCCACAAATTATAAGTTCGCATAAAATCGTCGGAAGTGAGATACCTTTTCGAAAAACAAAACAAATAAACCATATGAATTATTGATTTGGTCTAAAACTGGGAGAAAAAGAGGTCCTGCACAAGTAGCTAACGATATGTGCAATGCTCGCAACACAAATGGCACACGAATGTTTTATAGAATGGAGTGGCTTTCAAAGCTTCAAATTCAGGGATTTTTTCGCGACTCTCTGCGAAGAGAAAGCGATCAGGTGGCAAGCAAACCTCCAGCGATGACGCTGAGCCTGACAATAATGAAGAAATAGCTGAAGAGTTTGCCTCGCTAACAGATGAACATATGCTCGAGAAAGCCAGTGTAGACGTACAGTCTGAAATCAGTGGTATCAAGCATCCAGTGATGTATGAATCTACAACCTTTGCGAAATGGCGTTTGAAAATAAACCTTTATTTTTCAAGGTTAAGACGTTCAGGGAAATGTGCAAGCATTTTGAAATCACATCTAACTCAAGAGACACCAAATCAACTTTGGCTAGGAAAAAAATGGTCGAAGATTGCTCATTCGCGAAAAAGTAAAATTATACGCAATGCAAGTTTCAAACAATCATTTCGGTATATTGAAATTCCACAACTTTGTCAATGACATTTGTGACAGTTTGGTTTATTTGGATTCTGGATTATACGTAGTAGACCTTTAGGAACCTAGAATACCTGGACGAAGTGAGAAAATAAGAAGACTTAAAAAGATTTATATTTATTTGAGTGCTCTGGAAACACCAGGACCGAAAACTAGGGTAATGAGTAAAATGTAAGTCCTTCTTCTTTGAGGTGGGATTTGAGACTGCATAAGGTTAAATGACAAAAAATTAATTGATGGAAAACACACCCGCGCACTTTTTGGTGCGGGGACGTATTGCAGGAAAAAAAAAAGACAAGTCTCGTAGACTCTGTAGTATTTGGAACTATTCTACCTGGTTGATTTCTATATGTTCCGGTCAAATCTTTAATCGTAGACGATTACTTGAAAACTTGTGGTTTATCGGCATGGACGAAGCAGCACGAGGAACTTAATTTACATAAGAGAGATGGTTAGGTTTGAGCTCGGTAACGAAATAAAGAAATATGTTTTTCGTCTTGTCACGAGCGTGGGATAAAGTCCCTAAAGAAAAGAAAAAGAGTCCATGGGGACTCAGAATTTTTTCTTTGTTCCACGCTTCGTGAGAACTTGAGGTTTCATCAACTCAGAAGAAGGGCCTTAAGATACATCAGTCCGCGTGGTAAAATATTCTTTGATCACATGTCACATAAATCAACTGAAAAATAATTTACTTTAAGTACCACGAATACGAAAACTTTGACTTTGAAACTTAGTATTATTCTGAATAAACCTGAATCTTGTGATAGCTGTCCTGGCCACTAAAGTTTTTCCCCCCTTTCTCTCTAAATGACTGATAGATTAGAGGTTGCCTAGAGCCAAGAGTCAGCTTTCGGCAGATCTGTTTTTCGAGATGAAAATGAAGATCTTTTCCTACTTAATGATGTTTTATCTTA